AGGTTTGCTTCATGCTGTTGGAACAAACTTCGCATCTTGCACACCCAATACCAACGTCTAGGCTTAACATGCTTCTCTTGTCTCTGTGGCTTTAACAAAATCAGAAAAGTCTGACAGTCCATGCATTTTCTTCTGTGCACTGCACTTAACAAATGTTAATCCTGAATAACGTGATCAGGAGATCTATTCTTGCTGGGAACCTTCAAAGGGCTGCACTGTAGTCCAGACCATCACAAGACCAGACGACAGACCATTTTACCAGACCAGTCACAAGTAACAGAAAGTACAATGACCAAGGAATCCTTTTGCTCCTGTTCATTTGAACAGAGTGTGGCTTGATTTCAGACTGGAAGTCTTATGTTGGTTGTGATAGTCTTGCAGAGTCCTGTGATGGTCTTAAGACGTACTGAATATAAGACTGTCAAAGAGAAAGACAACAAATATGAAGAAAGCAATATCAAGCTCACTCTAGGAACATTTATTCTGAATAAAGCTAGCAGGAACGGAACTCTGGGAACATTTATTCTGAATAAAGCTAGCAAGAAGGGAACTCCAACATCACAAAGTGTCCCCTTCGGCAACTGAGCCAGGCCTCAGTCCTTGACATGAAGGGTACCAGTACAACACTCCACAGACCCATCTAACCTGACCTTCTTATGACAAGACACACACAGACAGTCATGCTGGCAGTGAAGGGTACCTGAACTGTTTTGGAAGGAGTTTTGAAACAACAGGTAGCTGGCATTCCGGTCCATCAGCTTACAGACCCGGTCAATGGGATCCACGATGGGAACAGTGGGATGGTCTTTGGTGTACTTCTGCAGAATTCAAGGGAAAATGATGGGAATCAAAATTTGGTGAAATGCAATTGCACAATCCAATTTGATGGCTGAAACTGATGCTGTGTCATCCCGTCTAGAAACACTCTCAATGCATTAGCAGCTACATACACAGAGAACAACAGCCAAGCAGGGGAAATAGAGAAAAGACCAAAACGTTGACCGATGAAAGAGCACACTACATGTACATGTAATTACAAAGAAATTAAAACCAGGATAATCTTGTTTGCAAATCAACGGACACAGTGTTTCAGAATCAGGAATAACTGAACACAGCTAAAAATTAGATAAGGAAAATGTTCAATTGATTTTTGAGGTTTCTGGAGATTTGATCTGGAAATCTGATGTGATGTTTATAAAATGTTTCTCAAAATGTCTGAACGTGACCTTTATGTATATATGACAGTATTGAATACTCCAAACTTGGAATTGAGTGTATGTGTACATGTATTTCCAATTGAGGATCAAAGCCTTTGTTCCAGCACTGTGTGTAAAGCAGGAACTTTCTAGTGGCAAAAACCACTGAAGACACAAAATTTCAGTGACTTCTGTGAAATAAGTGTTTTACAGAGGCAGGTGCATAATGAGACACATGTATAACAGTTTGTACATGTACAGTTCTTACATGTACATGTACATGTGCACACACACTTCCAACATGTACATGTACATGCGCACACATACTTCCAACATGTACATGTACATGTGCACACACACTTCCTACATGTACATGTACATGTGCACACACACTTCCTACATGTACATGTACATGTGCACACACACTTCCTACATGTACATGTGCACACACACTTCCTACATGTACATGTACATGTACATGTGCACACGCACTTCCTACATATACATGTGCACACACTTCCTACATGTACATGTACATGTGCACACACACTTCCTACATGTACATGTACACCTAGAGGCACCAGCAAGGCTTTTTAAATAAAGGCATAAATATACATGTGCTTGGCAATATTAAATGTTTAAGACCGGATCAGGAGAGTGGACGCCAGGCCAAATAATAGCCCAAGCGGAAACAAATTTATTCCCATTCATAAAAACCATTTGCATAATTTAAGATGGAGAGTCGAAACAAGTTTATAAATTTCCAGCGATTTTTGTTCAAGAATTTTACTTCAATTTTTTTAAGCATCCAGGTTATGGTACATGTGTGTTTCTCTTCTGAGTAGTCCTATCCTTATCT